TCAGAAAATTTCACGAGACCCGTTTTAGTCCCTAACAAATAAAATGGCTCATCGTGGTCCCTCAAAAATTCAAAAGGACCCATTTAGTTGAAATCGTGATCGCTCACAAATTTAAAAAAGATCCATATTAATCCTCAAAAGAACTAAAATGAGTCCAATTTAAATTTTTTAAGGACTACGATAGACCTTTTTATTTACTAAGACTAACTAAAATTTTCTGAAGACTGATATTTACTCAATTAAAAAAAGGGCGAAACTTCTGTTTCTGTCAATAAAGTCAACATAGTGACTCAGTTATTAGTCAGCAGACAGAAGTTACTCACAATGTAATCCAATGCAAGTGAGTATGACTGGATAAGAATTCTTAATTATGAGAAAAGTACTACTACGCAGATTATATCTTTATAAATCATTAACGTATCTTCACGCAAAGTATTAAATAATGCTTTAGTTATACAGTAACATTTATTTTTAGTAATTTACATTAATCAATTTGGAAATCTGTTAAATTTGTAATAAATATTATTACTCTAATTATAGCCATCGGAAATAACTCTTACCCCATCACTTAACGTGCATCATTATCTAAACATAATATTTTTCCCATTCATCGCGTTTAGTCAAACCCCCAATTTTTTTTCTTCCTATTCTGTCTCAATATTATCGGTCCACGTTATAGTATGTGAAGTTTTGTTAAGAAAATATACATATGTGCAAACAATATTATCTTCAGTTAAAATGTGCACAATGTCAAATGTGCAGATATAATTACATTGTTTTTAATAATGGTTTCTAATACGGGAATATTGAAAATAAAAATTTACATGAGTTTTATAATAAGTAGAGGGCATATATATTTATTTATATAGCAAAGACTAGCCATTAAATATTTAGGGTGATAATTAATTATTTTTTAATGATAAGTAAGTGTTTTTCTTGTTTTAATTAATTTGAATTGTAATAATCCAAAATACTACAAAAGAAAAATATAATAAATATAAAAATTCGTAAATATGTCTTACTTGATTAAGATATTTAATTATTGATTTTTAAGTTCTTAATAAAATATTAATATTGAATTTTAATCATGCTTTCCTCTTTTTCTTACTTGATTCTTCTAAGAAAATCTAACCATTTTAGTAAGAGGACCTCCATTTAAATTTTAAGAACACCTAATAATAATAATTAAAAAAATACTCAAGACTCAAGAGAAAGCGATAAGGATGCCACGTTTGTCACGACAGGGACATCTTCATGGTTCGCTGTCCATCCCTCAAGTTCCACTTTCTCTCTCTTTCTTTCCTTTTATTTTCCTTTTTTTCACTGACTTCCCATTTTTACCCACATTTTCCCAGGATTAAAATTCCTATACTAATTGGATACCCAAAATAAAGAGGATACCAAAAAACAAAATCGTATACTAATCAAATTTTTACGTTTTTGAAGCAATGTTTTTTTTTTTTCTGAAGGTAATATTTATCTGGATTGCTTATCAAGTTTGCTACGTGAACATACTACTTAAATTAACAGGGTTTTATAAGAGTTATGTTGTAGGAATAATGATTGTGTAATGTTATAGAGATTCGTTTTGCGTGCCTTAATTTTTTATTTATTTTTTTGTTTTAAAAAGTGTGGGCCCCACAAAATATTGTGAGTGTAAAAAAATTTGTTGTATTATGTTAAAGGATAAAACGAAAACACAATAAACAAAATCTAAATGTAATTTTTTTTTTCTATATAGCGAAGCACGGATTGAGGTCGAGGTGAGCAATCAATTGGCACGGCCCAAACTTGCCCTTGTTTTATTGATTACTTTATGGAATTTGCTTTTGTCATTTAACATGACACAATAAATTTTTCTACACATAATATTTTGTGGGGCCCACATTTTTTGAAGAAAAAAAATTATAGCATGCAAAACGAATCTCTATAATATTACACAATTACTTTTCCTACAATATAACTCTTATAAAACCCTTACTATACAGTGTTTGCTCCTCCGAGTTTTAGCTTTAATAAAAAGTTTCCTATCAGGCTATCAATTTATTTTAGGGTTATGTTTATCTCATTTTACATGAGATAAACAACTCTCCTACACACACAAAAATGGGTTGGGTTTCACCACTTTTTTTTCTCTCTTCTTACCTGTGGATCCCACTTATACTTTTATTTCTATAACATGAGGTAATTTTGTTCTTACAACATAAAAAAAAATATTCCTTTATTTTATATATCGTTTATCAGTTTCTCATAAACTCAAAAATTATAATTTAAATGTAAATTAAAATAAATTTATACCCAAGTCATAATATCGGACATTCTAATGAAATAAACCATAGACACACCTAATGGTTCTCCCTCTATCTCAAGATTCCAACCAGGCCCTGTTTGTCAAGTCTTACTGAATATTCATACTTATTTTTCTAATGAAATGAACGAATACGGAAAAGTGATTGATTCCTCATGGTTACACAAATACAATAAACAATCGAATCAGATGTTGCTAAATCACCTAATTTGTATTTGTTTCTTATTTCATGAGAAAAATGATACAACATTAAATAGCCCCACGACAATACTTCCAATCTCTTTTTAATATACACATTAAGAATTCAAGATTAGGGGGCTTATATGGGTGGTTTAGGTTCGTACACAACACTTTTCCCATTTAAAAATTGCAAACGAAAGAATATATCTCCCGAGACTAGAGCATGATTTTGGGTTATTAAAGAGTTCCTCGTTTAAAAGTGCAGAAACGTAGCGTGGTTTGCATTAACAAAAGCAGAGGGACAAATTGTACAAAAATCTGTGTGCGCTTGTTGGGGAGAATAGAAACTAAAAATAATTTGACTTTGATGTAATTTAAATATCCAAACCGCTACGCTAACAATGCTTGTGTTTCCTAATCTTACACCAAACCCTCAATCATTATAGCCTTAAATTAAATATTATATCTTTTTTGGCTATCTGCCATTTTTATAACCCTGTTTTTTCCCCCCCATTTCCCCACCTTAGCCCCCCTACAGCCTTGCATTTACTTGGAGTGGAATTATTATTTCATTCTTTTCCAAACTCGTACATGTGCACGCCATTCCATGGTCATTGGTAATTCTCACTAGCTTCCGAGCCCCATTTCGTAATTTCATGGCATTTTACTTCCACACGAAATCATTATTATTCAGTCAACATCCCCAGCACTATTTTTTTTTTCGGAATTATTCGTTGAATGATAGAGAAATAAAAAATTTTCTCTACCATATTTTATGTTTTACACATAAAAAATAAGAAAATATAAGTCTTATGTCAATACAGAAAGCAATTTTATACTACACATCCATCGATCAACTCCAACTTTTTTGTTTAAAAAAAAAAGCCCTACCACTATTATTTTCTGCAGTAGCATAAAGCTAATATTTTTCAAAAAAATGTGAGAAGATGTATTGAGTATTATTGTATTAATGTGCATGAAGTACTATTATATTAAAAATATATATAAGTATTTTTGAAATAAAATAAATCTCTTATTATACACAGTGATCTTATATTATCTAGTGGGTATCACCTTAATTTTGTGAATTATTATAAGATATATATATATATATATATATATGGCAAAATTAATTCTTATGTCACAGGAATTTATTAATATCCTGTCATTCACACTTCGAAAAATGGGCCAAACATTCGGTGTATATATATATATATATATATATATATATATATATATATATATATAGAGGATCATTCACACCGAATGTATATAGTTAAGTGTATCAAATGATGCTTACCAAAAAAAAATGTATCAAATGATAAATTGTTGATTTATAATTAAAATATAAATTTTGTTAAAAATATATTTAGCACATTTAATATGTAAGAAACTAAAAACTATTACATTTTTAAAATTTTTAAATAAAAAATAATGAACGACAGACCTATGAAATATTTATGTGACATAAAAAAAAATTTATATAACTGTTATTATTAATTAATGTTTTGTGAATAACCTATATGCACCATGTGAATATATGAATTTTTCGCTATTAGTGTCTCTTGACTATATAAAGTTAAATCAAAACAATATACTATATTTTTAAAGTTATATTTATTCTTATGCAAAATAAAAGGCACAAAAATATTAAGCTATGTTTAATTATTATAAAAATTATTTTTTCCAAATTCTATTTCAATAAAAAAATTTATATAAATAACTCTACATACAGAATAAGTTAATCAAAATACACACTAAATAATTTTTCGGATGGGAGGAGATCTCAATCGAAATGCTTTTTTTGCACTTTAATTTATCGTATTTTTTTTGTACAAATCATAAACTATTTTAATAGTACATTTATTATTAATTACTTACATTTTATTGTGCAAAATAACTTATAAATACATTACTTTGTACTTATGACTTATGATATTCATTGAATAATTTTTTTTTTTAAATGTCAACTTTATTTGAAGAACTTCATTAAAAAATCAATGTACGATCATTATAAGGTGTAAACGATAACTGCTAATTTAAAGAATACTTATATTTTTGATAGGGGTTTAAAATCTTAATAATGGACCCGCACCGAATTGGAGTAGTCGCGAAGTGATGAACCGATTAGAATATTTCTAAAAAAAAAAAAATACTTATATTCATACATTATTTTTCTTAAACTACTTTTGCACTGCTTCTTTTTAATAAAATAAAAACACAACATTCTAATCCGAACTGTTCATAATTTCATCCATAAAAACTATTTTTGCACAAAATATTAAGTTTTTTTTTCCTTTTTCAAAAATAGAATTTTTTTTTAAGAAGATATAAATATTATAATGTGCAAGTAGGCAAGTACCATCCATTTAATTAAAAAAAGGCAAAATTGGAAACAGTTCGATGGACGAAACGCATGTAAGACTACATTGAACATTCCATATAAATGAAAAGGAAAGGCACCATGAATGTATCTGAATAGTGAAAGCTAAAAGAAAATATAAAGAATCGAACGGTGGAGGAACATCCATCCGCGGAAACACGGAGCCGCTAACACCAAGGACCTTGGAATCTCACACTTCCATACAAACATGAAAGAGGCAGTGCACGCAGACACACTCCCTCTCCCAACTAACCTAACCCTAGTTAATTCCCAACCCTCTCTCTCTCTCACCACTCACTCATGTTCTCTTCCTGCTCCGGTTAATGTTTATTTATACCCCAACTGCCCCTCCATTCAACTTCCATTCCATGTCCCTCTTATCTCCTTCTCACATTACTTATTCTTGTTCTGCAGTCATCGGTTTTTAATGTGAGGGTGTGGTCCGAACACAACACAACCGTTGTTAGTTACTCGCTCTTAATTTGTAATTTTAAACCAAAGAGGTATGAGTTGTAACGGGTGCCGAGTCCTTCGAAAGGGTTGCAGTGAGTCCTGTATTCTGAGACCGTGTCTACAGTGGATTGAAACCCCTGAAGCCCAAGGCCATGCCACTGTTTTCGTAGCCAAATTCTTTGGCCGTGCAGACCTCATGTCCTTCATTTCAAACGTCCCTGAACCCCAAAGACCTGGTATAATTTTACTTCACCTCTTTCAGTTGCTCACTCCTTTTTCTTTTTTGTGAAATCTTCTCAACTAACGCTTTATCTATGCAGCTCTGTTTCAATCTCTGTTGTTCGAAGCTTGTGGACGAACGGTGAACCCCGTGAACGGCGCCGTGGGGCTTCTGTGGACAGGAAACTGGCACGTTTGTCAGGCGGCTGTTGAGACGGTGCTCCGTGGCGGCACCCTGAGGCCCATGCCGGATCTTCTTGGCCTAGACGCGCCCTCTCCCATCGGGGACGACGCATCCGAAGGGGAAGTCACTTGCACCGACATGTGGAGGGTCCGAGATCCGAACCCGGTTTTGCGGTTCTCGAGCTCGCAGTCTAATAAGGTCGCTTCCGGCGGTAAACGCAAGCGATCGAACGAAATCACCAAGTTTCAGACGACGACCGATCTCAATCTCCGGTTGACGCCGAGTTTTCTGCATAACGTCTCCACCTACGACTGCCGACACGAAACTCGCCGACCGGGCACACCGTCGATGAATTCGGAGGAATCCGTGACGACGACGTGCTTGGAAAGTGGGATCGGAGAACACTACGCTCACGGCGGAGACCGGAAAGTGCTTAACCTTTTCGTTTGAGGGCTCTCTTTCTCTCTGAGATTCGTGTTTTTCTGAATCTCTAATTAAGGGGTGTGGCACGCACGCGTCTTTTATTTGTTTTTTCTTCATTTTTTGAACGCTTTGTTTTGCGAAGAGGGTTTTTCCTGGAATTAAAATCCGTTGAGATTTTGTAAGTTACCGGCACAGGATTTTCTCTCTCTTCACGTTTGTAGACAGGGAGAGAAAGATGAGGGTTCGTCGGTGATAATATTTCCTTTTTTCTTTTGATCTATGAAAACATGTTATGATGGTGTGACATGAATATTAAATAATTAAATACATATTTCTTTTCTTTAATTATTTTTTAGTTTTATTACTCTATTGCAGAAAATTGAATAAAAATTTACCCGAAATCTTTTTTTCATTAGTTTTAGTGCTAATTGGTAAAATTTTATGAATGTGAGCTTAATTTGGACGAATTAATAGAATTGAGGAGGATGATGAATAGTCAATTTTTTGATTAATTGCTTTCAAGTTTACCAGCTACACCCGTAATTAAAGAGTAAAGAATTTAGATTACCAAAAAAAAAAAAGTAAAGAATTTGACCTGATCCGTTTGCAAAAGACATGTGGGAGCTGTCTGATGACTCGGACTCAATCCATATGTCATTGTTATCTAGCTGCCCTTAAATGTAGTAAAATGTTTCTGTTTTCATTAAAGAAATTTAAATTAAAAACCACTTGGACTTCATAATGAAAAGGAAATGGTAGCTAACCCCTAGCTCAATTGGTAATTGTATGTCCTTGATCAAGGTTTAAATTTTTGAAATTCTTTGCGAGTTAAATAAAAATTGTCTTTTCCTCCAAAGGAATTAGTTTCATATTTTTTTACGGTGACAATGGTTTATATCTTGAAGAAGATTATGTAAAGATATCTCCAGATTATCTACCAATAATAATAAAAAGAAAAAAGAAAATGGTAGCTCGAGATAATATTGAATTCAAATTTGGAGTATAATTCCTTCAGTACAATTGAGCTAAATGATTTCAAATCAAAATCTTATTTATACACCCCCCCCCCCCCCCCCCCCCCCCCGCGTGCATGATCAAAGCCTTATTTACTTAGTCAAGAGCATTCAGTCACTGATAACAAGCTTGACCAATAATATACTATAGGAATACAAGAATAAGGTTGAGATATCTATCGGTCTGATAAGGTGGAGTTTTTAGTTTGAACAACTTTATGGTCAGTGTAACAAAAAAGGTCAGTGATCATGTTTGCAGAATCCCAGACTTGAGACTTCTGATCGAAATACGGGAGGGAGTTGATCCTCAAGTGTGCTAGTTAGTATGATTATGTCATGTGAAATAATTATAATCATACATAATAATAATAAGATAGGAGAGAAAAAAAAATATAAGCACAAGAAATTACACAATCATAATCGTTGATTTAATTATTAATAATTAAGATCTTCTTACATAATATAATCATGTTAAATTACACAATCAGATAATCCATTTCTATATATATTTTTTCTGAAAAATAGGAGAGACAGAGAAATCAGCAGTCAGTAGAAGAATATATTTGGGTTTTATATACGAGGCTAATAAATAATAATAAATAATCAGAGAAAGTGAGAGGAGGCATGGCTTTGTCAGGCGACTTTTGGAGTATGCATGGAGGCGTACAAAATACAATGACAATAGGAATCGAGGAGCTACAAATAAAGCACGGTTCGCGTCAGCGTCGAGCTTTGGGCTGTCTCCCTTTGTCTTGTCCAATAATTTTATTATCTGACCTATTCATAATGATTTCTTTCAAAGAACTTGGATAGGTTGTATCAACTATCAACTTTAATTAATTTATCTCAAACAATTGATATGAAGGGTATTTATAATCTGAATTTAGTCCAGTTTGAATTGATTTAAATTTGACATGATATTTTGATTAAATTAATTTTATGGATTAGACCTAATCATGTGCTCACAAGTGATTGAGAATGGAATATTGTAACTTCCCCCAAAAAAATATTTATTCAATCCATAAAAAAAAAAAGTTTTATAAGAATTATGTGATAGAAAAAGTGATTGTGTAATATTATAGAGAATCGTTTTGCGTGCATTAGTTTTTTTTTTGCTTTAAAAAGTGTAAGCCCCACAAAATATTATGTGTATAAGAAATTTTATTGTGTCGTGTTAAATGACAAACTAAAACCCTTAAAAAAAATCCTTCAAATATGTGATTATAATTTATTTTATTTAAAGTCTATAATCCTGTATCACTTTAATTTCTCCTTTACTAATCATGCATATTATTGATAAATTATTTACCAACAAAGTTTTAAAAAATAATATAATTATAAATTATTAACAGATAAAGTTTCAATAAATCTCAAATGAGAAAGTTTTCTTTTTAATGATTATTGTCTAAATAGTATTTTATTGTTTACCTGATAATATATTTTCTAAAATAAAGGCCAACGGAACTATTAATGATTGCTTCATAATTGAGAAAACTATTTTAAAAGTGATGAATCTTTAAAATTTCGGAGGAAACCTTATTCAAGGAAAGTGAGAACAAGAAGAGAGATTAAAGACGATACATTTTTAAAGGTAATGATTTGTATTTATCATTTAACATGACACAATAAAGTTTCCTACACACACAACATTTTGTGGGGCCCACGCTTTTGAAGCAAAAAAAAAAAAAAAAACTACGGCACACAAAACATTACACAATCACTTTTCCTATAATATAACTCTTATAAAACCCTAACTTTTTTATCCTTTCTTTTAAAATATAAATCACCGATGCAATGTTTTTTGTTTTTTATTTTTATTTTGTATTTTCCATTCTTACCCTAAGGTAATGATGGAATATCACACTCTCAATTCTTTTATGTTATTTTTTATATTTTAGCAAATTTAAATTTTTGCAATTTATAACTATCATATATGCATTTAGTAGCATATTAATAAATAGTATAATATATGTGATTAATATTGTACATGGGAAATAATTATCTTATGTTGCATGATATAATTATCTCATGCAATAGAGATAAAGTAATGGGGCCTACTATTTTTTCTAATTTTCTTTTATTTTTTAAAAATGATGGACCTCACTATCTTGTCTCTATTGCATGAGATAATTATCTCATACAACATGAGATAAATAGTTCCCATTGGACATATATATATAGATATATATTTAATTGTTTGACTTATAATTTTGTATTTATGTTGTTGAGATAGGGTCCCTCAAAATGCACGGAAGAGATCACAATTCGACAAGTGGAGCACCGGTTCTCCACTTGGAGGTCAACCTATATTCAACACGTCGGCCAAACATGCTGAATAAGAAAAATGCACAAATGAGAGGTGAATAGAGAAACACATAATAATTTTACACGAAAAACCTCTCACAACGCAGAGGAGTAAAAACTACGAGACCAGGTCCAGAAAATATGTCACTATGAAATAGTAGGATTACAAAAAGTCAAGCATGACTCCGTTTATGTGTGCTTGCATGCATGGCCTGTCCCAAGTAATGATAAAGGAGGAGGGTTGGTGTTAGGCGCAGTGAGCCGGCCATAAAAAGAACCTATTTTTATGAGAAGAACCCTTATGATTTTTTGTTGGGGCGTACCCTTCACAGCTTCGCATTGCATCGGACCCCGGGTATACCGAAAAATGGGATAGGATCCTTGCCACAAGGCAAGGTGATACATCGGATCTCGAGTGTAGTGATAAATGGGCTAGGATCCTTGCCCCAAGGCAAGGCGCCACGTCTTCACTCGAATTTGGTGACAAGTCTGTCAAGGTCCCAACACACAGATGAGCGAGCGTGGCTAGTAAGAAATGCCCAAGGGTTTAGGATGCGATTGAGAAGCTAGAATATAGAAACCTTAACGAGTAAATTGAGAGAGTTAGCAGATATTTTTGCAAGAAAAAAATTGAATATTGTTTGCTTGGAAGAAACAAGTGGGTTGGAGAAAAGGTTAAGGAAGTCGAAGGTACAAGATTCAAGTTATGGTACACAGGTATAAACAAGAGTAAAAATTGTGTTGGAATTATTATCGATTCAAGTTTTAGAGATAAAATGATTGACGTCAAAAGGAAAGGCAACAGGATTATTTTGGTTAAGCTTGTAGTGAATGATTTAATTTTGAACATTCTTAGTGTGTATGTTCCTCAAGTTGGATAGTAATTAAACGAGAAGAACCAATTTTGGGAAGGTTTAGAGAGGGATACCATGAGAGGAGAAGATTTTCATTGAAGGAGATCTAAATGGTCATGTTGGCAAAAATAGTGGAGGTTTTGATATATTTCATGGAAGTTTTGGTTTTGAGACGATAAATGAGGCTGGAGATGATATCTTGAATGTTGCGCTAGCTTATGATTTAATGCTAGCGAACACCTTTTTTTTGAAAAAGAGAGTCATATCTGATCACATATCATAACAGCCAAAATTATAGCCAGATTGATTTCCTTCTGGCTAAAAGAAAAGATAGAACCTCTTGTGTTGACTGTAAGGTCTACGCAACATAAACTGGTAGTTATAGAGGTTTGGTTAAACAGAGTACCTAAAATGCAGAAGAATGCTCAGAACCCAAGGATTAGATGGTGGAAACTAAACTAGGAAAAATAAATGAAGTTCAAAGAAAGAATGCTCCAGGAAGGACCATGGAGTTGGATGGAAGAGCGAATAAAATGTGGAATGAGATATTTATATGTATCCAAAAAGTGAGAATAAGGGTGTTAGGAGAAAGCAAATGAAATGTATTTCAAACAAAGAAAATATGGTGGTGGAATGAAAAGGTGCAGGAAGCAATTAAACAGAAAAAGATATGCTTCAGGTACACAAAAGTCCTAATGATGAGAACATGCAAAAGTTTTGTTTGAGTAGAAAAAATGTTAAGAAAGAAGTGCGTGAAGTTAGAGGCAAGGTTTTCGCAGATCTGTATAAAAATCTTGCGAGCAAGGGTGGTGAAAAATGTATATATAAACTTGCAAAAATGAGGGATAAGAAAAGTAAAGACCTTACCCAGGTTGGATGCATCAAGGATGAAAATTAAAAACTTTTAGTAAGAGATACATAGGTAAAGAAAGGTGGATGAACTACTTTAACAATCTTTTTAATGGGGGTGATGATAAAAGCAAGGTGGACTTAGAGGATGCTTATGATGATTTAAATAGAAGATTTGTGCACAGGAAGTTAAGGAGGCTTTAAAGAGGATGAAGAACAATAAAGCTTTGGGAACCGATGGTGTCCTATTGAAGTGTGGAGAGGCCTGAGGGATGTGGCAATAAAATGGTTGACCAATATGTTCAAT